AGCCTTTTTTGTTGAAGGATTTTATTGTTTGGGGATGATCTAGATTCTTGTTTTGATTCTATCCAGTCTTGGGTGAGTCTTTCCTGCTATGGGTCTCAGTTTCCTCATCTGTCAAGTGGAGGGAATAGAACAGTTGGGTGATTCTTAATGAGGGAAGTTTGCCCTTCAGCAGATATTTGGCAATATCTGAGCACATTATTGTTGGTCATAGCTGGGGAGGGTGCTACTGGCATAGAGTGGGGACAGCCCAGGGATGCTGCTAAAAGCCTGCAATGCAAAGGACATTCCCCCAGCACCCACAAGGAATGTTAACAGTGCCGAGGTTGAGAAATCCTGGGCTAGTTCTCTACCATCTCTAAAATGCCCTGTTTCCTTCTATGTCTGCAGTCTCCGCCTTCATCCTCTCATGGGCATGACTGAGTCCATGACAAAACTGTAAAGAGTTGATTTCATTTCTTTCTTCTCCTTTCATAGCTCGTCCTTCCCAAGCTTTTGTGCTCTTACTCTGTCTCATCATCATCTGGGGCAAGTTTAAGAGGCAAATACATTTTAAGAGGGTTTAATCCTGAGTGGCATCAGGTTGGTTTGAAGAAGATGTTTAATTGACGTGGGCTGCTGCCCTTGGACCATTTCCATCTCATGTTCTGCATCCATGTTGAACCACCCCACTGGGGGCCCTGCAGGAAGGTGGGTAGTTGTTCCTGTTTGGTATTAAAATAACGTCTAGTTTTTAATTTTAGTTTTTTGCTGCTTTTAGTTTCCTTATGCTTCCCTATCCCAGAAGTCCCTGTTTTGTTCAGAAATTTAATGAGTAAAGGTAAAAATAACAAGCACACCTTTTAATGTAGCCTTTAGTCCCAGAGAAACAAAAACACACCATTCCTAATATATATTCTGCCTTCAAAACCTATCTTTAATGATTTATTTTTAGCAAGTCTTCTATGCTGGAAATATATCAAGTATCCAAACATAAAAGCCAGAACCTAAGAATTATCTGAGAGACTTCCCCCTTGCTCACCTCTCAGATCTAATCCATCTGTGAGTTCTGTCCATCTTGCCTTCTAAATAGCCTCCAAATCCATCTGTTATGGTTTGAATGTAAGGTTTCCCCCAAAAGCTCACGTGTGAGACAAAGCAAGAAGGTTCAGGGGGGAAATGATTGGGTTATAAGAGTCTTAACCCAATCTGTGAATTAATCCCCTGATAGGGATAAACTGAATGGTAACTGAAGTGGTAGGGTGTGGCCGGAGGAAGTGGAAATTGGGGCATGGCTTTGGGGTATCTATTTGGGAAGTGGAGACCTCTCTCTCTCTGCTTCGTAATCATCACTTTAGCTGCTTCCCTCTGCCACACTCTTCTGCCATGATGTTCTGCCTCATCTTGAGCCCTGAGGAAAATACCATCCTGTAACCTCATCTCTGTCAAAAAGCACAGTGCAGATTCCTATGACCTCATCTTGCCCAGTGATCCAACCGTAACCATGGTTCCCTCTAGACCTTTCTTCACGTTGAATGAAGAGCCACCGTATCAAAACACCGGTTAGGTGGCACCAGCCCCTGTGGTGTAACCATTCCATAGCTTTTTACCCTGCTGAGGATAAAGGCAGGACACATTTATGTGATCTAGAATGGGCCTTCTGTCTCCTCCAGGACTCCTCATTTTTTCTTCTCCAAGGACAGTAGCCATCTTTCGACCCCCGGAGCCCTCGGTGCTCTTTCCTACCACAGTGTCTTAGCACACATTTTTTCTCTAATCTGGAATGTTCTTTCCACCTGTAGTCCTACTGCCTTGTCTTAGATTGGATTCTCCAAGAGGGACTGAGGAAGGGAGTAGGGGAAGAGAGATGAGCAGGGAAGGAAAGGAAGCCGTTTGGGGAGCAATAATGAACAGCTCGATGGGGGGGGGGCAGGTGAGGCTCAGACTCATGGGGGAAACTTCTGGAAGATGGTGGACAACATGAGCCAGTGTTGGGCAACCTAAGGAGTGAGGCAGTTGAGGCATTTGTACTCTAATTCCTACTGACCATCGGTTGAGGGATGTTTTCTCACACTCCTGTCCTGTCCTGTGCATGGTCTGAGACCACTTCTATGGCCAGAAAAAGCACTTGGTGTTTGCAGTGAGAAGCCATTCTACTGCCCTGGAATGTGGTGACAGGAGATATGGGCAGGGCACTGGTAGTGATACTGCTGGTTATGGTGACGAGTCCTGCTTCCTCACATGTTGAAGTTTGAATATTAGAGAAGGATGCTGGGGCAAGGATATAAAGCAGGGTTTTTTTTTTTTTTTTTTTTAAAGAGGGAATATAGGCGTCTCCGAGGAGGGAGAAGGGGGCCATAGCTGGTATCCTGGTGTCCTCATGTAGGGATGGCCTTAGGCCTTAGCCTAAGCAACTCCATTTTAAAACTCCAGTTTGAAACCTGCAGTCTCACCAGGCACACCTATGGAGCCTTCCCGTATGGCCCTCAGGCAAAAACAAGTCATTTCTCCCAACCCTGACAAACTCAGAGTGAAGTCTCTGGCATGTTGCCCTCACCCTGGTAAGAGTGAGAAGCAAGAAAATCAGGGTGGGAACCACCAGACAAGATGCCTTAACCTCGGGAGGAATGACGTCACTGAGAAATCCAATGCAGCTGATAGGGATTAAAAGGGTGTCCAGAAGTGCCGGGGTCTGGCTGCAGCATAATAACCGGGGAGTGACGAATAACTTCTGTAGCTTGATACAGCGGGAATAGGAGCCGTTTATTGTAGGACAACAGAGCTATTTATACATTTTGCACAGCTTATCTAATTAGCATAAACTAGATACATCAGTCAACCAATAAGGAATCTCCACACTTAATGGCTTGCTTTTGTTATTTCTCAATCCACTCCCTCTGGCATTTTGCCAGGCGCCATCCAGACTTGTTTACGAACTCTAACATTTCCCTGGCAAAATACCACGTGTTATTTTGACTTGTTTACAGACCTTAACACAGAAGCCCCCAAATTTAGTATAAATGATGGAGCACATGAGCAGACATTCAGCCAGCCGACACTGGTGCATACAAACCTGAGAGTCTGATGAGGACCTAGACTGACATCCTAACTCTTCTCATCTGCCTGGTCCTCTGCGTAGTTCTCACTGCTCTCAAACTCTACAGCAGCCTCTTGACTCTGGTGAGGAAAGGACTTCTCCCTAGGACGGCCTCCTCAGCCAGCCGTCAGCTCCACCCCAGGAGAAGCCTGCCTCAGTCCCTGACCTGATCACCGTGGTCTGAGTGACTGTGCAACTGCTGGACTTAAAGCCTAAGGCTTGAGACTTTTGATCTGACACTTGAGCTTAGCCTACAGAGGGAATGTCTGTCATGAGCCTGTCATGATCAAGTGTGTTTGCAGTGCTTAGAATTAATCTAGAATTGTTTGCTGTGAATTGATTTTGTCTATTGCAGTGCCTAGCATTAAGGATGGTCATTTTCTTGATTAAGAACCTATAGAGTGAAATTGTATTGATTGATTTGAGTGAATAAAGCACTGAAAAGGGCAGAAGCGTGTGGACATATTTGCACCTTTTGCCCATCATGACACCCAGATGTGAGGCGTTTGAGGTGTTCGCTTTTTGTATATCCTAGGTTTCTTTTGTTCTGTCCTCTCTCCCTTATCTCTCTCCTTCCTGTATATGTAACTAGGTCTAAGAAATGCTCAGTGGGGTGGCCAAAAGGTGGGCTGAAGGGGGAAGGGCAGGACACTTTAACAACCTTGTAGCTCCCTGTAGGGAAGGGTAATACATGGGACAGGTTACCTTGGCAACAGGTTGGCGCAGGGGCAGGTTCTTGATAAGGGTGGAGGAAGGGCTCTGAAGGAATTAACATTTAGGGGACAGTTTCCAACTTCCCATACTCAATCAAAATTGGCCTCCTTGATCCGACCTGACTCGATTTGCCTATCTATACTGTCTGTCTAATTCTGGCTTCAGTAGTGTCTGTGACACTAGGTGTCTCTTCTTCCTCTAGTAAATCCTCAGTCATTTTTGGATCTCAGAACAAACATCAGTCTTTCAAGACCTTCCCGAGGTGGCCATGTGCCCTTGTTATCAGTATCCTGGCACCGTGGTCCTTTAATTTGCAGCATCTGTCACAGTGTGATCCCTTCATTAATCTTTGCCTCTACCACTGGACTGTGAATGGCATGAGGAAGGGACTGTGTCAGTTCTTACCTCCTTGTTTCCCCTGCCGCTGTAGTGGCCAGCTCAGGACTGGAGGAATATAGGAGAGATGTCCTTTAATTATAATTATTCCTCTAGTGGACCATATAGTTTTTCTCATATTTGCAATATTTTAAGCAGATTTAACAATCTCTATCTTTGTTTGGATTATGTTCTTGGTGAAATCTACTCTATTTTTACTAGAATTAGAACTTTGTCTTATGAGTGAAGGTAAAAAATAACAAGCACACTTTTTAATGTAGCTTTTAATCCCAGAGATTTTTTTTTTTTTTTTTTTTTTTTTAAAAAAAGCTCCAAACATATGGGAGGCACTGGGTATAGAACCTTCGGCTGGCAGGCTGTACTATCACACCATGGCTCAGACTTGTATGAAACCATCTATGTATGAAACATCCCATGGCATGTTGCTATGGTGAAAAGGACCAAGATTTCTATGGATTTGTAGTGAATGAAAGCTAAAGACCGTACTAGACACTCTGCATTTTTTGCTGTGATTCAAAGTGACACTAACCATGACAGCTTTGTGGTGTATCCTCTTTTAGAGAAAAACTTCTGTTATTTTGGTGGAGGGTTTACCATGCAATTCCTTCATGGGAGTCTATCAATCAGGAATCGAATACAATCTACTCTCAGAGTAAAAATATGAATGAATGTCCAAGAAAGGATCTGGACAAAAGGATCAGGGTTCCAAGAAATATTATGGAATTCCTTTTTATCCCATTCTTGCTCTTTTATTCCATTGCCTTTTCCCCAACATCTCTGATTCGCTCTCTGTTTTCTACATTTCCTCCTTCTGTAGGTAGGCTGCTTTAATGCAGAAGAAAAGATAACCACTGGCAACTCCTGGGATGTAGAATTCAGGAGCCTTAGTAGCAGAAGACAGTGTCATTCTCCCAGTATCTAAACCCGGGGGAATTGATTTACCCTGCTTGAGTCATCTGCCTATTTCTTGGACCAGTCCCTGGGGTAAGTGACAGAAATGATTATCCCGGCTGGCTGATATGCCACCCCTGTGGTTGTAGTGGATAGCTCTGAATGGCAGCTCACCAGAACCACGTGGAAGGAAGAAAGAAGGCTTCTGCTACCACAACGAGGAGAGAATGCCAGGCATAAGAAAGCCACAGATATCCCTAAAAAAAGGGGGAACCTATTTGGTTTTTAATTTATTAATTCATTCAGATAATTTGCTCTTTTGTACAAAAAAACTTCTGCTTTCCTGCTACGACCAAATATTTTCAGATATAGAAATAAAAGATCGCTTTCCCCCTCAAGTAATTTAGTGAAGTAGAAGAGATAGACAAAGAAACAATTATAAAATGAATCGTCTTTCAGGCTGTGAAGCCCAACTGCAGAACTTTTAAAAACAGAATTCTTTAGGTATTTCTAAAGGAGTCAGGAAGCACCATGGAAATGGAGATCATCCTCTTCACTTCTGATTACAGCCATGACGAAACTCATTAGTTACCCTCCTGCCCAGGGAGATGAGGAGGAAGTTCAAAGAGACGTTAAACATCTAAAGACAAAAGCATCCTTTGGGGGAGGGGAGGCTGTGGAAATTCCAAGGATTCTCTGGTTAAGAAAAGCTCTTAATCAACTCCCATGTCCTGGACTGCCGGAATCAGCTCCTATCCAGACCTGCAAGAATCAACACCTTCCTGGTTTGCTGGTGATTTCTTACCAAAAATTGACAATATGCTAAGCTTGTCAGCAACCAAGTATTTATCACACTGAAATTGTCTGATCAATCTCACTTCTTTAATGATATTTTAAGTTAAGCAACTTCTTATGGCATTTCAGTGGCCTTTGCCAATGTTCCAGGAGACACTATTTTCTGAAACTCAATATTCCATTTGCAATTTCCCCAGGTCCCACCTATTAGGTTAAAAAAAAAATGAAGAATATGTTTCATAGCAACAATAACCAATGGTAGTCACTGCTAAGTTACTTTATTTCTCATTGAAAAACAACAGTGATTTAAGGTGAACTTGGCCAGGATAGCTTGTTCTAATAATAAACAAGTATAAATAAAAGAGTATACATATATTTTAAAGGTCTACACATCCCTTAAGATCCCTTAAGTGTTTTACTATTGCCTACACCAAACACAGATCTCGCAAACACATTTCAAGCGTCTACTGCTGTGGCCTTCTACATTCTAGTTCCGAGTACTTTCCCAATAGGGAGACCAAGGGCCATAACTCACACATGTCTAGGACTTCTTGGTGAACAGAGGCCTGCATTACTTCTGCCCATATAACAGGCCTCTTAATAATATAACCTACACTCTGATATAAAGTAGTCATATCTGTCATCTCAAGCCTTCTAAAGTTTGTCAATACTCAGAATGGTTTTGAGGAAAGTCAGTGGCAGGAAGAGAAATTACTTAAATTTAAGAGAAACACATCTCATTATTGACTTAGTCAAAATAGGCTCGATAAGCAAATTACATGATTCCACCAAATCTGTAGCTCAAGTGAGAGCAGACCTGTTAAAAGTCATAAGAGGTGTCCTTTCATGATGCACTCATATATTGCTGGTGGGACTACAAATTGGTGCAACTAATCTGGAAAGCAGTATGGAGATTTCTTAGAAAACTTGGAATGGAACCATCATTTGACCCAGCTATCCTATTCCTCTGTTATACCCAAAGGACTTAAAATCAGCACATCACAATGTCTTAGTCACATCAATGTTTACAGCAGCTCAATTCACTGTTGGAACCATCCTAGATACCCTTCAACAGATGAATGGATAAAGAAAATGTGGTACATATACACAATGGATATTATTCAACCTTAAAGAAAAAATGAAATTATGGCATTTGCAATAAATGGATGAAACTAGAAAATATCATGGTAAGTGAAATAAGACAATCCCCCCCAAACCAAAGGCTGAATATTTTCTCTGATAACCATAGTGGGGTCGAGTAGGGAAGAATGAAGGAACTTTGAATTGTGCAGAGGGTAGTGAGGGGAGGGGTAGGGCTCTGGTATGGGAAGGACAGTAGAATGAGACAGACATTATTACCCTATATATATGTATAATTACACTACTGGTGTTACTGTACACCATGCATAGCCAGAGGAATGAGAAAAGTTGTGCTCCATCTGTGTATAATGTGTCAACATGCATTCTACTGTCATGTGTAACTAATTAAAAAAAATAGAAGGGATACCAATAGAATAGAAGAAGAGGATCGGGGGAGGGAGAGGAGGTACTGGGGAATGAAATATATTAAATCATACTGCTTTATTGTGTGCACATATAAATATGTTATAACAAATACCATTGTTATGTATAATTATAATATGCCAATAAAAAGAAAAAAAAAAGAAGTGTCCTTTGCTATCATCTAATTTCAGCTTCTACTTTGAATAGCAGGAGACTGGGGAAATGATTTTCCCAAGAAGCAAAGGAAGAGTCAAACCATTGTGTACCCTTCTGATACTTCTTGGTATCAGCTACAAGTAGCAGAAGAACCCAGTGAATATTTCTTAACTAGTAGGACTAGAGGTAGTGTTTGTTAATATAGGGTCTCAGTCATGTTATCAAAGATCAGACTTCCATTATTCTATACTTCTGCTCTGTCATACTCCAAGTGTTGGATTCAGACCTCACACTTTCCCTCTCATGATTGCAAGATGGCTTTAAGCATCACCTCATCAGTCAAAGGCTGGCATAGAATCCCCATTTCTTGAGACAAGTTTTTAAAGAGTAAGGAAAACTTTCCCAGAATTTTCCTACAGATCTTGTCTCATATCTTATTGGATAGAATTCACCAAAGTACAGCAAGGCAAATGAATTTACCGTGACCAATGTTTACATGCACCTGAAGAACCCAGGACCTTTTTAGGTGGTTTTCAAGGTAAAGAAGAATATGCTTTTGCTTTTCCGCCCTGTTGTTTTTTCTAGTGCTGGTGGTGCAAACTCAATGATGGATAAAACTGGTATTTTATCATGAATCAAAATAGTATCAAATTATATCAGTTTTGGAAAAAAAGTAAGTTAACTCATGAATGAAGTGGTTAAAACTCTAAATTTTATTAAATGGCAACCTCTGAACACCCATATTTTAAATATATCACATAAATTATTTCTGATGATTGTATCAAGAAAAGCCCTTTTGCAATTGTTTGAATCCCAAGCTGAACTAGTCATTGTTTTTTTTTTTTTTAATTCGAGGAACACTATTTTTACTTGAAGAACAAATGTCAGACAAATAATGTCTATTCAGACATAGATATTTGGCAGACATTATCTTGAACAAAATGAGTCTGTCACTTTGAGAAAAACAACAGATCAACGAAATGAAAAGGCAACCTACAGAGGGAGGAAAAAATTGGGAAAATATTTGCAAACCATATATTTAATAAAAAAACATACTGACATATATATTATATAAAATACATATTGATATATTATGTATATAATTTCCAATAATTTTAAAGAACTCATCCAACTCAATAACAAGAAAACAAATTATCTGATTGAAAAAAAGGGCAAAGACCATATACCTCTGGACTCCACTGATGCTAGATACCCTTAACTGTCTGTGCTCACCTGATAACCATAAAAAAATCTAGACCAACAAATTCCAGCAGGTAGTAAGGCAAGGCCACAAAATGATCCCACAGATGGACTCTGTCACTCTGCTCTTTGATCTTGACTAGGTAGGGTAAGAGTTTTGTGCCCTACCTAGTTTTGTCCCCAAATAGGCAGAGACAACAATCCATTGTCAGCCTTAAGTAGCTGTAAGAAGATTGAGACCTCCAGCCCCTCAGCCCCCCAAAAGAATTTTGGAATCACATCTCTCAAGGGAAAATGTTACGTAGGAGTTCAGAGATGCCAGGGTGTAAGAAAAAAACACCACTGGGGGACAAGACAGGGAAATGAGTCATCATGTCCCTGTTTATGATAAGTCCCATTACCTTGATAACACCTGCCACTGAGGACTCATTGTCCATGATAACTCCTGTCACAGGTTTGTATTCTAAAGTAACCAATGGGGGTTAAGTAGACAGTATTCTAATCAGGTATCATAAAGTAACCAATGGGAGCAAATGGGGTAAGGACTTCAATTAGGACCACATAGGGAAGAGCATATAAGATATGGATTTCCAGAATTGGGCCTTGATTATTTCTCTTTTGCTTGGCCCACTCTGCTCTATCTTACAGTGTGCTCTTTTCACCTTCACCCTCAATAAATACATTGCCTGTTTAAAAGGACCTAATAGACATTTCTCCAAAAAATATATCAGAATGGCAAACATATGAAAGTATGTCCAGTATTATTAATCATTAGGTAAATGCCAAAAAAAGCCACTATATCACTTCACACTTATTAGGATAGTTATTATATAAAAGGCAAGAGATAACAAGTATTGGCAGGGGTTTAGAGAAAAGGGAACACTTGAATACTGTTGGTAGGAATGTTGATTATGGAAAACAGGGTGAGGTTCCTAAGGAAGTTAAAAATACAGCTACTGTATGATCCAGCAATCCCTCTTCTGCGTATATTGTATACCCAAAGGAAATGAAATCAGTACCTCATGCAAAGACCTGCATTCCCATGTCCATTGCAGTATCATTCACAACAACAAGGTTATGGGAACAACATAAGTGTCCATTGATGGAATGAACACATAAGGCTTAGCTTTACTTAGCTTTAAACATGGAGGGGATCCTGCCTTTTGCCACAACATGGATAAGCCTGGAGGACATTAAGCCAAGTAAAATAAACCAAACATAAAATACAACTCTATCTTACTTATACACGAGATCTGAAAATAAAAAGTCAAATATACAGAAAGCATAACAGTGATTACTAAGGGTCTAAAGGGGAGCTAGAAAATGGGGAGAGATGTAGGTCAAAGGATATAAAGTAGCAGATATGTAAGATAAACCAGTCTAAAGAAAGAATGTTCAATGTTAATTCAACATTGTTATGTTAATATATATAGTTAATAATAGTATATTATCATTTTTTTCTAAATGAGTAGATTATAGTTACTTTTGCCACAGGAAGGATAAAAGGACGATGTATTAGTTAGCTCTCTATCACTATAATGAATGCCCAAGTGTGCTATTCTGCTTTGCATTGCTGTGACAAAAATAACTGACGAGAATAACTTAGAGGAGGGAAAGTTTATCTTGCCTATGGTTCAGAGGTTTAGACCATGGCAGGCTGACTCTCTTACTTTGGGACCAAAGTAAGGCAGCATATTGTTGTAGAAGGGCATGGTTGGAGGATTATTGCTCCATTCTTGGTAGCCAGGAAGCAGAGAGAGGGAGAGGGGGAAAGAGGCTGTAGGGAAGATGCATTCTTCCAGGACATGCCCTAGTGACCCTAGTGTTGAAAAGAATCTACCCCTATCCCTTCAGCTATGCCCCACCTGCCTGTAGTTACCATCCTGTCAGTCAATTCAAATTGAATGAACGGATTAGGTTACAGCTCTCACTACCCAATCATTTCACTTCTGAACATTTTTGCCTTAGCACAGGAGCTTTAGGTGGACACTTCTTATCCAAACCATAACATTGGCTCGTGGTTTGAGAAGTCCCAGCCCATAATCAGGGGGACCCATTGCTTTTAAAACTTCAGAGAGTGCTGGATGGCAATGGTAGGAAGCACTTGGTGTGGCTGAACTGTTGACCTCATTACTGGGAAGGGAATGGAGAGGACAAAGAGAGGAGAGTCTCACAATCCCCTTTGAGGACACTCCCGAAATGATCTAAAAACCTCCAATTAGGCCCTATCAGAAGTTTCCTCCACTACCAGTAATGAGAAACTGGGGACTTTTAGGTTACACTTCACATCCAAACTTTAGTGGATAAAAATAATTTTCATAATAGGGGATAGATTGATTGTTGCTTTAGTTATCTGTTGCTATGAAAAAAAATCCCAAATTTAGTGGATTCAAACTATGATAATCATTAATTTTTCTTAACAAATCTACAAGTTGGGAGGGCTTGGCCAGGAGAGATTGTCTCTGCTACAAACTCTGGGGTGGCCTAAAGGTTTGGGGGTGACCTGATGTTTGGAGCTGGAATCACCTGAAGGCTTTCTTGTTCCCATGTTTGGCACATTGATGTTGACTGTTGCCTCGAATGTGGTCTCTTTATATTGTTGCTTGGTTTCCTTGGAGCATGGTGGCTCCAAGGAAAACCCACACTTGGAATTGGGTCAGTCAACTTGGAGGGGCGGATTTTTGTTTTATTTTTTTGTGTTGCTGGGGACTGAACCCATGGCCTTGTACATGCTAGGTAAGTGCTCTCCCACAGAGCTGTTCTGCTGCAGTCTGGCTGGGCACAAATCAAGAGCCACTGAAGCTTTATTTCCGAACTCCACCAGCACACTCCACACACGCTCCCGGGAACTCTCCCTATCTATCCCCACGCCATGCAGCTCCTCCAGGAACCACCAACCGGAAATCCCTCCTCCAGCACTTCCCCAACCAATGGGAACTCTCTGGGAATCCCCGAGAGAACTCCAAAGTAGCAGGCCGAGGTGGACAGCAGGGGTCTAATATTACAATTGAATACACAGCTTAACATAACCATTATCATCTCAATGGCTTGCTGGTGTCACCTCTCAACCACTCCATTCTGGCAA